TTTCGTACATTAACATTTGCAAATTATCCAAATTTACCAACAAAAGCTTTCCGTTTTGTTCATTTTGAAAGTCAAAGTGTAAAACAAACACATAAAGCAAATAATCGTAATGTTCTTGCATTTATTAATATTGAACGTACGGAATCTGGTTTATTTGAAGAATTAAGTGTTTCAGATTCACATGATCAATTAATTATCTCATTTCTTAATTCACCATTACTTTATTATGCTAATGGAGGTCTTTCAAAACTTAATTGTTATGAATTAAAATTTCTCAATACTAATCCAAAAATACCTATAGATTTTTTTTATCAAGCAGTTTATATTTATCATTTAATTATTGATAATCCATCATTTACTGGTTTTATGTCATCATCAAATTCAAAATCTTTATTTACTGTTGAAATTTATAAACTTTCAATAAAAGATATTAGTGTACGGTATTTACAAGGAAAACATTTTCCAGTTATTTTTAATAGTATGAATGAATTGGTATTAGAAAATTATCATGTCAATCGTGGATTTCGTTCATTTAATAATCGTGAATTAGCTCAACGTTTTCCAAATTTACGATCATTAAAAATATTTTCATGTTCAATTCAACATATAATATCTCGAATGTTTGAACATTTCAATCAATTAGAATATTTAACATTAGATGGTATAACTACAATTGAAAATGAAGCTTTTTTTAATTTATATCATTTAAAAATTTTAAATCTTGGTAAAAATATACTACGTCTTGATCCATATGCATTTATACATATGAATACAAATAATCTATTATTAAATCAAAGTCATATGTTTCAATTGAATGATGAAAAACATTTTTGTACATTTGCACAATTTGTACCAACAATAGATTTTAAAACATTTGTTCAATTTTCAAGAAATCTATCTGATTGTTCTTGTACACTTCGTTATTTATATCGTCATTTAGATAAAACTTTTATGTCATTTACACCTAATTGTTATTCAAATTCAAGTTTATATATTTTAACACAAGAAGAACGTATATGCCATTTTGAACAACGTTTACTTCAATGTGATATATTACCTAGTGAAGGTATTTCAATATATGGAAAATATTATAATGTTTCATATTTTTATCAACAACAAATATCCAAACAAAAATATGATTTATCAATAATTTTTCGTTATCGAATTTATTATATTATTCCATTATTTATTTTAATTATCATATTATGTTTTATTATTCGAAAACAAAAACAACGACATGATAGTACATATAAATATTTAAATCGTTTATTAAAACGAAAAAGATTAGCAAGAAATGAAAATGTTTCAACAACAGAAACATTTGATATGATTTATCAACATACAAATGAAAATATTCATGATACTCATTCATCGAGAATATCTAGATCAACAAAAGTGTAACAATATTGAATTTGTTTTTTTTTAAATTATTTTTTTGATTCATAAATTTGCGTTGATTTTATCACGAACAAAACAAACGTTAATATTATTGATTTGTATTACTAACAGGATTTGAATTTCGTGCTGATGATGTTTGATTTTGAGGTTCGTTTGGATTTGATGATCGTTTATTCGATGGTGATCGATATCGTGGATTAAAAGGTTGAAATTTAGATGAAGTTACACGTGCTACACCATTCATAAGAAAAGGTGACATAGATAATGGATGCATTGGTCTAGTCAGAATGTCGAAATAAAATAAAATAAATATTAAAAAAGTATATACTTACAAAGAATTTCGAGAGCAAATAAGATTATTATCAATAAAATTCATATCAGGACATTTATTTTGTTGAAATTGATTATTTTCTAAAGATTAGAAATTTATTTATACTATATATATGTATTATTAAAGATAAATTATACCTTTACTACGTTTAAATGCATCTATAAAATATTCAAATTTTCGCATTTTCGCATGAAGTAATGCTATTTCTTCAGATTGTCCATTTAAAATAAAATTTTGATGATCAAGACTTTCAATACATTGATCTAACATCTAATATTTGATTTATATTAATTATTAACAAAAGAATACTAGTATACTTACAAATTGATATTGTAAAACTTGTTCTTGTATATCCATTTGACCTTGTAATACTTGTTGACCCATTTGTTGAAGAGTTAATGTCTATTGCAGACAAAGAAAAACAATGATCTATAGATTATTAATATATTACTCTTACAGTATTTTTTCGTTTTGCAGTTTCATCTTCAAGATGTGTTAATCGTCGTTGATTAGCTTCATTTTGAATGGCTTGTATTGGATTTGGTACCTTTTATGTAGGTTTCTTTTTTCTAGAGAAATCAATCATTTTTTTTTTGAAGAAATTACATACACTATTTATTTGCATTGGATTGAATGGAGGTAAACTTTGACCAAGAGCATTCGCATTTGGAGCGAAATTATTTGATGTAGGTAAACTATGAGCTGTAGCATAATTATTTGAAAGAAGACTATTTGTTAGACCAAATGGTTGTTGAATAGAAGGAAATGGTGTATGTGGTGGTTGTGGAACAGGTGGTGGCATATTATTTAAAGTTGGTATTGTACTCGGTGGTAAATTTGGATTATTTACCATAGGAAGATTCATTTGACCGCTACCATTTGATGGCATAGGTCCTGACATCGAAGGATCCATTGCTGTAGCACCGGTAGCCCGAGGCCATACATTTGAAACGGCTGATGTTAATGGTATACCAGACATTTTAATCTTTTATCTTGATGAATGCCTAAAAAAAGAAGAGTAAGGCGTAACAATTTTCATTTACTACTGTCGAAAAAGAGAAAAAAGTTTGTGCACTCAGGTGTGTCAACCAACGAAAGTAAATGTGATACAAAATGCACATTGATATGATGTAAATCATTGCATACATATACGTTCTTTTTTTATTATATACATCCGAACTATTTGATAAACGTATAATTGACGTCAAGTATGGCCGATGATTTTGATCCATTAAAAAATCAAGTGAATAAGTCATCTCAGGGTTTAAATCGTAAGTATCGATTAGATTTTGTTCAGAAGAACAAATATTATATTTTTTATTCAATAAACAACAGAACCAAATCAAAATAAACCAAGTAACAATGTTCTTATTCATCGTCCCTCATATACTGGTGCTTGGAAACGTCGATCAGCAGGTAGTATGGACATTCAAATAAATACATCTAGTGCAACAGAACTACAAACACAGTTAGATAAATGATTTTATTTTATTATTAATATAATTGAATCTTTAGGCAGTCAATAAATTCACCGAATTTGAATAGTCCTAAATTACCGACATCACCATTACCATCGTATTCGAGTATTCCTAAATCACCAACATCACCGATACCATCAAATGTTGTTAACCGTGTAGCACAAAGACAAGTATCTCAACCTGATCAACGCCAAGTTAATATCGTAGAACAAAATCCAAAACCGTATTGGGAATCTAGAGAAGATTCTTTTGATGAATGGAATCAATATCAATCAACAGGTTTGTATAATACATATTTTGAAAGAAAAAAAAATTCATATTTTATTTTCATTAATATATAAATAGATACAACAGGACAAGCATCTGCTTATACTCCAGAAGAATATTATAATTACGAGAAACCATATAAAAAGAAAGGAGTATCAGTAAGAATATTTTACTTTATACGTCTTGTTAAATATTCTTTAATGATAATTATATCGTTATATTTTAGAATAAAATTGATCGTCTTGTGCAACGTTTTCCAGCTTTGGGTAAATTTTATAAACAACCACCATCACCATTTTCACCCGGTAGAGGTGATACCAATGGACAATTTAGATTTGAACAAACATCTGACCCAGCTTCTAACCATAAAGCCACATATGAATTAACTGAAAATGATTTATCTTTACATGAACGATATACGGATAAAACTCGTATGGAATGTATTAATCTACAAGTAAAAGATGAAACCCAACCAGTTGATATTTCTGTTAATCATACAACAAATAAAATATATTTATGTGATGTTGGTCGGGGTGTTGTTGAAATCTATGATATGAATAAAACACTTGAACATGTAATTGGTGACGCAACTATGATTGATTTTCGACCAACATCACATAAATATATTTTATTTGTTGTATGATTAACAGAAATATCAACTGGTTGGGTTTCATCTTTTACTTGTAGATTAATACATTCCATACGAGTTTTATCCGTATATCGTTCATGTAAAGATAAATCATTTTCAGTTAATTCATATGTGGCTTTATGGTTATAAGCTGGGTCAGATGTTTGTTCAAATCTAAATTGTCCATTGGTATCACCTCTACCGGGTGAAAATGGTGATGGTGGTTGTTTATAAAATTTACCCAAAGCAGGAAAACGTTGCACAAGACGATCAATTTTATTCTAAAATATAATGATATAATTATCATTAAAGAATATTTAACAAGACGTATAAAGTAAAATATTCTTACTGATACTCCTTTCTTTTTATATGGTTTCTCGTAATTATAATATTCTTCTGGAGTATAAGCAGATGCTTGTCCTGTTGTATCTATTTATATATTAATGAAAATAAAATATGAATTTTGTTTTTCTTTCAAAATATGTATTATACAAACCTGTTGATTGATATTGATTCCATTCATCAAAAGAATCTTCTCTAGATTCCCAATACGGTTTTGGATTTTGCTCTACGATATTAACTTGGCGTTGATCAGGTTGAGATACTTGTCTTTGTGCTGCACGGTTAACAACATTTGATGGTATCGGTGATGTTGGTGATTTAGCAATACTCGAATACTGTGGTAATGGTGATGTCGGTAATTTAGGGCTATTCAAATTCGGTGAATTTATTGACTGCCTAAAGATTCAACTATATTAACAAGAAAATAAAATAATTTATCTAACTGTGTTTGCAGTTCTGTTGCACTAGATGTATTTATTTGAATGTCCGTACTACCTGCTGATCGACGTTTCCAAGCACCAGTATATGAGGGACGATGAATAAGAACATTGTTACTTGGTTTATTTTGATTTGGTTCTGTTATTTATTGAATAAAAAATATAATCTGTGTTCTTCTGAACAAAATCTAATCGATACTTACGATTTAAACCCTGAGATGACTTATTCACTTGATTTTTTAATGGATCAAAATCATCGGCCATACTTGACGTCAATTATACGTTTATCAAATAGTTCGGATGTATATAATAAAAAAAGAACGTATATGTATGCAATGATTTACATCATATCAATGTGCATTTTGTATCACATTTACTTCGTTGGTTGACACACCTGAGTGCACAAACTTTTTTCTCTTTTTCGACAGTAGTAAATGAAAATTGTTACGCCTTACTTTTCTTTTTTTAAGCATTCATCAAGATAAAAGATTAAAATGTCTGGTATACCATTAACATCAGCCGTTTCAAATGTATGGCCTCGGGCTACCGGTGCTACAGCAATGGATCCTTCGATGTCAGGACCTATGCCATTAAATGGTAGTGGTCAAATGAATCTTCCTATGGTAAATAATCCAAATTTACCACCGAGTACAATACCAACTTTAAATAATATGCCACCACCCGTTCCACAACCACCACATACACCATTTCCTTCTATTCAACAACCATTTGGTCTAACAAATAGTCTTCTTTCAAATAATTATGCTACAGCTCAAAGTTTACCTACATCAAATAATTTCTCTCCAAATGTAAATGCTCTTGGTCAAAATTTTCCTTCAACAAATAATTTTGCTTCAAATGCAAATGCTCTTGGTCAAAGTTTACCTCCATTCAATCCAATGCAAATAAATAGTGTATGTAATTTCTTCAAAAAAAATGATTGATTTCTCTAGAAAAAAGAAACCTACATAAAAGGTACCAAATCCAATACAAGCCATTCAAAATGAAGCTAATCAACGACGATTAACGCATCTTGAAGATGAAACTGCAAAACGAAAAAATACTGTAAGAGTAATAGATTAATAATCTATAGATCATTGTTTTTCTTTGTCTGCAATAGACATTAACTCTTCAGCAAATGGGTCAACAAGTATTACAAGGTCAAATGGATATACAAGAACAAGTTTTACAATATCAATTTGTAAGTATATTATTATTCTTTTTCTCATTGATAATTAATATACATCAAATATTAGATGTTAGATCAATGTATTGAAAGTCTTGATCATCAAAATTTTATTTTAAATGGACAATCTGAAGAAATAGCATTACTTCACGCTAAAATGCGAAAATTTGAATATTTTATAGATGCATTTAAACGTAGTAAAGGTATAATTTATCTTTAATAATACATATATAGTATAAATAAATTTCTAATCTTTAGAAAACAATCAATTTCAACAAAATAAATGTCCTGATATGAATTTTATTGATAATAATCTTATTTGCTCTCGAAATTCTTTGTAAGTATATACTTTTCTTATGTTTATTTTATTTTATTTCGACATTCTCATAAGACCAATGCATTCATTATCTATGTCACCTTTTCTTATGAATGGTGTAGCACGTGTAACTTCATCTAAATTTCAACCTTTTAATCCACGATATCGATCACCATCGAATAAACGATCATCAAATCCAAACGAACCTCAAAATCAATCATCACCAGCACGAAATTCAAATCCTGTTAGTAATTCAAATCAATAATATTAACGTTTTGTTTTGTTCGTGATAAAATCAACGCAAATTTATGAATCAAAAAAATAATTTAAAAAAAAAACAAATTCAATATTGTTACACTTTTGTTGATCTAGATATTCTCGATGAATGAGTATCATGAATATTTTCATTTGTATGTTGATAAATCATATCAAATGTTTCTGTTGTTGAAACATTTTCATTTCTTGCTAATCTTTTTCGTTTTAATAAACGATTTAAATATTTATATGTACTATCATGTCGTTGTTTTTGTTTTCGAATAATAAAACATAATATGATAATTAAAATAAATAATGGAATAATATAATAAATTCGATACCGAAAAATTATTGATAAATCATATTTTTGTTTGGATATTTGTTGTTGATAAAAATATGAAACATTATAATATTTTCCATATATTGTAATACCTTCACTAGGTAATATATCACATTGAAGTAAACGTTGTTCAAAATGACATATACGTTCTTCTTGTGTTAAAATATACAAACTTGAATTTGAATAACAATTTGGTGTAAATGACATAAAAGTTTTATCTAAATGACGATATAAATAACGAAGTGTACAAGAACAATCAGATAGATTTCTTGAAAATTGAACAAATGTTTTGAAATCTATTGTTGGTACAAATTGTGCAAATGTACAAAAATGTTTTTCATCATTCAATTGAAACATATGACTTTGATTTAATAATAGATTATTTGTATTCATATGTATAAATGCATATGGATCAAGACGTAATATATTTTTACCAAGATTTAAAATTTTTAAATGATATAAATTAAAAAAAGCTTCATTTTCAATTGTAGTTATACCATCTAATGTTAAATATTCTAATTGATTAAAATGTTCAAACATTCGAGATATTATATGTTGAATTGAACATGAGAATATTTTTAATGATCGTAAATTTGGAAAACGTTGAGCTAATTCACGATTATTAAATGAACGAAATCCACGATTGACATGATAATTTTCTAATACCAATTCATTCATACTATTAAAAATAACTGGAAAATGTTTTCCTTGTAAATAACGTACACTAATATCTTTTATTGAAAGTTTATAAATTTCAACAGTAAATAAAGATTTTGAATTTGATGATGACATAAAACCAGTAAATGATGGATTATCAATAATTAAATGATAAATATAAACTGCTTGATAAAAAAAATCTATAGGTATTTTTGGATTTGTATTAAGAAATTTTAATTCATAACAATTAAGTTTTGAAAGACCTCCATTAGCATAATAAAGTAATGGTGAATTAAGAAATGAAATAATTAATTGATCATGTGAATCCGAGACACTTAATTCTTCAAATAAACCAGATTCCGTACGTTCAATATTAATAAATGCAAGAACATTACGATTATTTGCTTTATGTGTTTGTTTTACACTTTGACTTTCAAAATGAACAAAACGAAATGCTTTTGTTGGTAAATTTGGATAATTTGCAAATGTTAATGTACGAAAACGAAAATAAAAATATTTTAATTGTTCAAATGTTGTTGTATTTTTTTCTTTTAAAAGTTCATTTGAATATGTACAAAATAAATCTTGATTTAATGGTGAACGTGGTTTACTCAAATAACTTGTATCAATAAGTGCAAAAAGAGGAAAATTTGTACATTTACACATAGCTAAGAATTGACATTCATTTCCATTGACATTTAATAACCATGAAAAGATATTAAGAAGAAAAAGATAGAAGAACATCGCGCATCGGTTTGATCACCATCAATTAGTATGTGTCAAAACTAATAAGAACATTTCTGAAACGAAAGAATAACAGCATATATATATTCTATTTCCTTCTTTTTTTTCTTCTCTCTTTTACACATACATTATTCAGTCATTAGAACTGTTAACAATTACTATCTGTTGATAGGTAAAGAGTTCTTAAAGAAAGAAGGTGTCATATATTCCAAGGACTAGGAGAAACAAAATAAGTGGGTATATAAAAAGAAGCATCTTTTGATACAAATCTTAGGTAGAATATTATAATACTTAATTCAAAAGGAAATGAAAACCGTTCGGGAACTATTATATTCATATAGCTATTGTAACTATGATTATTTGCCTATATATTCATTTAGAAAAGAAATAAGAAGCACACTCTCAACTCTCTTACTTGTATACTGAGCACATTTTCTTCTTGCCGTCTGTTTCGTAATCATGTTTCCTTTGCCTCATATTCTTCTTTTTCCTCTCTCTCTCTCTCCTTCTCTAGACTACTCTCTTTCTTTCTGTCTCCCTCTTTTTTTTGTATTAATACCGCACCACTGAAAATTATTAATGTTGAACGTTGTCGTCATTGTCAACATCATATAGCTAGCGTTCAGTACGAATGTGATAAAGAGAATTGACTAATTCTCGCTTACTTGAACGTTCAGCTGTGCACTTATCTTATATATATACTCTCGCATGTACTTATACTTGAAAGGCATTTACATTTTTTTTCTTTTACGTTTTGTGTTCTGTTTCAAAAAAAAAAGAAAAAGACTCGATGCCTTATAAAATCATTATTATATCGATGTGCTCTTGTTACATCACACTAATATGTAATGCATTAGTTTTTTTATTTTATTTTATTTCAACACAATAAATGTCTTTCTATTTCAAAATTGACAACATTCAATATAAATGTGTACATATTATCTTGATCTATACTTAAGTGTTATTATCGAGAGAGAGTGGATGAGTGCATCACAATGTTATTTCTTTTTTCGGGCTTTAGGATGCATGCAAGAAGCGTAAAAGCTGCAAGGTTATTAGGAAATATTAGTAGCAACATTAATACATCGTATGATTATGACAAGACTGTCTTATATCATTTATAAAGATGGTGAGAACGATTAGAATGTATATAGTGGAAGAGAGAAAAAAATAAGTCTATGAACGTTTTGTTACACTATTATTAAGCAAAATCTTTTTTCTTGTGAGATGAACATCATAATGACTTTTGACTCACAATAAAAAAGGACGAGTCATATATTTGAGAAAACTTACATCATTTCCTGTAATCATTTATCGGATGCATGAAGACACAATACAAGTTGAATATATGATGTCAGTATTGAATTCAATAATATCTGAAGTATTCTTGTGAAATGATTTTCGTGTGAGAGGTTAAAGAAACAAATCTCTTTCGTTGATAATATATTATATTAAAAAAAAGACAGGTTCTCTCTATTGATTTAAAAGTTTAGCTGAAAAAAAAATTGATATAAAAATCATGCCAAGAAGAAGGTTTACATATATATCTGAACAATGATTTATATTAAATGAATTAGTAACAAAATATGAAAGGATAATTGTTATTGTATCTATCAAGGATATAACTTCCGAGATGATCGATTTCTGACTGAGACTATTGTAAAAAATTAGCATAATGTTGCTTATTACAATACAAACAAATTAACACCGTAGTTAGAAATATGACAAGTATTATATATACATTTGACTGTAAAAAGTAAGGTCGAAGAATAGTTTAGTCTTGTAGAGTAGAAATAAATAGATATGTAAATCAAGAATTGAACTTTTTGAATTTCTATATGAAAAATACCAATGATATGACAATCATTTCGGATTACACACTTGAAGTAACCTTAACCTTTGCGCAGCTTATCAATTAGAGTGATTTTTATTAAGTACATTGCTTAGTGTGTTTTATTCTTCTATGATTATTTCAATTATGAACACAGAAGAAGAAAAAGAAGAATTCTTCATGATAAGTAATAAGAAACCATTTGTATTAGATATTAAAATAGTAAAATATCTATTTTCATCATATATGTCACATACTTTTAAGGTTTTTTTTTATAATAATTACGTTGTTAGTTTACATCCATGCTTGACTAGTTAACTATGAGGTAAAATATACATTAAATAAGCAAATATAGAAATTGTTTTATGTCGTAACATATTACTGATATCAGCATGAATATCTTTGTTGATAACAGACATATGGATCATGTTATTATGTCATTTAATTATTTAACATAATAGAAAATCGTTGAGCTTTATTATTTGGAAATCGATCGATAAGTTGCAAAAGATGATTCAATAGATTGCTTGATAATGTATATTTATAGTATACTTCTTTTCATAGGTAAATATAATAAATGATTGTTAACATGATCAATAATTACTTGTTCAATATCTTTGTAACAAAGAAGTAAATAACTGCCACCTTCGTCAATAATGTGTATTAAAATACTTCATATGTAAGAAAAGTTTCAGTAGGAGAGAGAAAGATGAATATGATTACAGAAAAAAAAGAAGCGAACAGCAGTAAAAGAGTAATATCACTATCAACGCCATGTTGACTTCTTAACAGTGGTGGATTTAGAGGGAGTGATGGAGGTAATCGCCCCCCTTCCGAATTTTTTTTGATTTTTTACAGCAAAAATGAACGAAAAAATAGGTTTACACTACTTTGATTGGACACAAAAAATAGCTTTAAGCCCAAATCGCCCCTCCATACTCAAAAAAAATCACCGCCCCCCCTTCCAAAATCCTGGATCCGCTACTGTTCCTAAATAATATCGATATTCAAGAAACAAAGATATCAGTTTTTATATAATATGAATAAATTCTTGTTACAATTAATTACTGAGTATTCTATAGATTACAACATTGTACAAGATTGTACAGATGATTGAACCATATTATCTATATTTCAAAGAAAAAGAAGCGATAATGATCAGATCATATAACTACTCATTACATTGTAAAGCTTTTATCAATGAAAGATCCATCGAGTTTTTTAAAAACTAACTATGATCAGAATTTGAACCATATGTTTGTTGTCAATAATCAACAGTACATACGAAAAATGTATTGTTATTAGTATGATCATCTATGGCATAGAAGCAAAAAGACAGAACAGAAAATATTATTATTTTGATTGACAATAAGAGAAAACTGATGTATTAATAAATTATTGTTTTGTTTAGTATTGATGAAGGACAAATAATATTATATCTCAATGGATTAAAAATTGTCTCTTAGATATAAAAAAAAGGCAGAACTTTCTGTAATTAATTCTTTGAAAAGTATTCAATGCATGTAGATTAAAGATCAATGTTAACTTTATACAATCAAACTAATCAAGAAATATGACCACATGCTGGTGAACACACAGTTGGATTTAATTTAATGAAGTATATTCTTTCGTTGACCTTTTTATTTCATATATCTTGATTATAAGGAATACTCTATATACAATCAAAAAAATTCTCATTTAAAAAAATATAAATATAGAGTTCATAAAAAAATAGGTTCTAGTTCTATTTATTCATTAGACCATTAGTATTTGTTTTCATTGTTTGTTTTGTTAATAATTGTTGATCAGCTATAATTAAATCCATATATTTTTTAAATCGTCTTCCACGTAATTTTGTCCATAATTTCCAATCATTCATTGCAAGTATTTGTATAACATTTTGTATTGCACTTGGTAATGTAAATACAATTGTAAATAATGATGTATCATTTGATATAAATGAATTAATATCAAATAAATTATTTTGTTGTTCTTTATTTATTAATGAACAATGTATGATTGGATATTGGGAATTTGATGATAAACACATAGCAAGACCATTATTTATATTTCCAAGTGTAACAATAACAGTTGGTCGACAATGTTCATAGGCATAATTTGATAAAAATTTTAATATTGTTTGAGTTGATTTATATATTGAATAAAGACGTATATCGCAATGTATATTATATGTATCATTAAGAATTGTTTTCATTTTTTGACCATATTCAATATCATGTAATGATGCACATATAATAACACAACGACTTGTTATTGATGGTGTAGTTGGTGTTGAATAAAGATGTAATGATAAATTATCATTAATTATATCAATAGAATCATATTCAGGAATAATATTAGATTTTTTTTGTTCATCATTATCATGTCTTGAAAGTAATTTAGCTGTTAATGGTATATTTATATTTAAATCAAGTATATCTCGTAAGGAATTATTTATCCAAACAAGATTTTCTTGTATTAAATCATTACCAGATAATATTGTTTTCTCTATAGGTCGTAATATATGCCAGGTTTCAACATCATATATATTAGCAACAACAATCTCTTTTGGTGCTACAGTTGTTATACCAAATTCAATTTTCAGATCAATTAATTGACAATTTTTATTAACCATCCATACATGTTCAAGTATGTCAAATACCGTACAACATATTTCATACATATATTCAATATCTGTATGTGAAATTTTAACATTTTCAGTATTTATATTTGTATTAAGAAGTTGTTCATAAGACCATATTGATGAAATACATTCATCAAAATCTGATTCATCATCATCAAATTGACTTTCATGATCTGATTCGAAATTATCATCATAACTATCTACTGTTGATTGTTTATAAAGTAATGGATGACGTTTATAATAAATTTCCATAATTGGTGGAATAAAACGATGACCATTTGTAATACCGGGATTACGTTTAACATATGCTTCATTAGCTAAACGACGAATAATCCATAATATTGGTATCATTGTACATTTTTTTGCAATAAACATATCTGGTTGAGTAAATGGTGCAACATAAAATGTTGGTATAGTTGCTTCACGTAAAATTTCATAGACACATGTAGTTATTGATGTTGCTAATGAACCTTTACTGTTAATTTCAGTATTATTACGATTATTTTGTTGCTGTTGTTGTTGTTGATTAGTTTGACGAACAGCACTATCAATACTAGATCGACGACTACCAGGAATACATAAACTTGAACCTAATGGTTCATGATAATCTTTTCGATGAATACAAATAAGACTTGGTTGATCAATAATTGAATAAATTGTTTTAGTTTTTCCATCAAATAATTTTTGATGAAGTATATTATGTGAAGAAAATGATGCCATAGAGAAAGTATTAATTTATATTTTACATTATCAATATATATATTCTTCAGATATTCAGTAAGTTTGTATTGTTGACTCTTATTATAATGATAATAAATAAACAGTAGCTGAATACATATATATATATATATAAAGATCTCTATCTCTCTGTCTGCTTATCGACCTTCATTTAAGAATTGTTGTCGATAGGTTTTGGTTCGTCGGTTAATTGATTTGCTTGTCAATGTTCTCATTTTTTTCTATTGACGTATAATAGACCAGATGTAACAATAAAAGGTTAAAGAAAAACTTCTGTTTGATTGACACGTACGTGATAGAATCTATCACGATATTTTTTCTAATAAATCTTTACATCTTTACTCGTTTTTTTATATTAGATTTCGTTAAAAATAGATTAGAGAAAGTCGACATGATTAAGGACTTCGTCACAATTGATTTACAGTTACTCTTCCTTTTCCACAATATAGACAGACCTTGTTATATTATGTTGTTATTGTTGTTATTATTGTTGTTGTTTCTGTTGTTGAAAGAGAAAAAACACGATACAACACTATTTCTAAAAATAACATCCGGTAATCATCATGTAAATTACTTTTGTGATCTGTAAAATTATCTTCAGAAATATTCATTCTATACAAAATACGAAATATCATCTGTATTGTCGGATAAACCATTTACGAGAAATCGTTTTTTTCTATACATCTCGTATAGTTAAGAATAAACAATTCTAATATCGATATCAGTTCTAAACTGCATACAATGAATTTTATTTATTTTTTGTTTCTATATTGAAACATTTAAATTATTTATTACAAAATAAATTAAAAATTCTCAACAAAATAACGTTTGGAACTAATTGATTCGTGATTTCTAAATAAAAAAAATCTTATACAATAATATTTTAAATAAATATCTACATACAAGAATAAGTGCACTTATTAGTAATGTGGCTTTTAATTCAACATTCATATCTTGTGGAACTGTATAATTAAAAAAAATATATGTGATGATAATGACAATACTTCACAAAAACATACGTTTTATAGCTACAGCTTGTCCATATTGTGACCTTTCTAAATCAGTAGAAAATGGATAAATACGACCAATACTTGATATTTCATTCTTATTAATTATTTCAAATTCAGATACACGATGTTGAATTCTCTTTACCAAATAATTTTTACGTAATATTAAACTGACCGCATGTTTATAATCAGTATTATATACATTATACCGTAGTTTATTCAGAGCAAATCTATAAAATAAAAAAGAAAACTTAAACAATGCAAAATATTTCTAAGCATTCTACATAGATCTTATCATTGACAGAATCCTATTAATATAATATTCTCATTCTCATTCTCAAGATAAATATCATTTTTATAGAAATTATTTAACATACTTCTGTTGAAGATATCCAATTGATTGAAAACTATTAGACAATGATGTTATACATCGAACATTTTGTTTACTTGATATTTTAGATAAGAAAGGTACACGATTACAATAGAGTTCTAGAATTTTCTAAAATAATAAAAAAAAAAATTATTATTATTCTTATAAATTAAATAAAAATAATTCTATATACCTGATTCGTTTTAGGATGAAATAATATAATTTTATGATTTAATATTGAACTTAGTATAGACGTATGTTTTTTACCACCTATAAATATAAATTAATTTAAATTGAAACAACTATTTATTTATCTTTTACCAATTTGATAATTAAATAAAATTTTATTTGTTCGTGATACAATTTTTCCACATTCAACAGCTCCATTCTTTTCCATCGTATCTTTAATAACAAAAAAATTAATTTTTTCTTTCGATGACCTTAATCTATTTACCAGGGTGAAAAGGTTTAATAATGATTTCTTCTTCCCGTTGTAATATACTTAAGAGATTTGTTGTATCAGTATTTTTTATGTCAATTGCCATTGAATAATATTTATTCAAACGATTATAATGCGTAACTTTTGTTTTCTTTTGTATTGCACAGTATCATTGATATATGATGAATGGATCATGCGCATATACAAGGAAAAATATAAAAAATAAAAAGCATTCATGCGTAAAATTATATTTTCATATGTATAGTCACGATTTCTAGAATATATTTTACCGATTCTTATTATATTCGATTTGATCAATTTCGCACGATTTAAATAGCGAATAAAATATCTATTAAAATCATTTTTACATTATGAATAACAGTGAAAAATTGAATATCACTTCCTTGAATCTTTATTATTCAGAAAAAAATGATTTATTTTATGAACAAATTTTAAGATTGTCTAAATATGAAAATATACTAATTTTATTGTGAATCTTGTTCTTATTTTAATGGGTTAATAAATATTCCCGTAACGATGGTTGTTTTTTTAATGTAGGTGTAAAAAACAGTAACCAATTATTTTATTTATTTACTATATTCGTTATACAATTTATCGGATTCATCTAAGAAATTAATTATAACAGTAATAACTTACTCATATACATCAAAGTTTAAACAGGTCACTATGCCCAAGCAATTAGTTAATGAAAATGATGATAGAAATGGTTGGTGAAACGTATTTAATACAAAATGTTTACGATAGTCTTAGAGTTCTGGTTATGACGAATCTAAGTTTAGAAGTAAAAATGTATTTGAATCACAACGATAAGCTAGTAAGATAGTTGAACAATCTTTTTTGTATCAATGAAATGTATTTTATTTGTTTTATGTATTACTGATAATTAATGTAAAAATTTCACCTATGGATATACGTAATCATTGTTATTATTCTTCTTCCTCTCCTCCCTTGTGATTAATAAACGTGCGCTGGTTAATACTATAGTAATAATAAGTAACAGACAGTCTGATTTGCACATTTCTCTCAAAAGAGGGTATGTCGACTGGACTAATCCGATGTAAGCAAGTGTAATTAATCAAATTTGTCTATAATACAAGCATACAAACCTTTTGTTGGTAGATTATTGTTACCTTGTACACATAGAGAAAGTAACATGGTAGACGATAAATGTAATTTAAAAAAAACTAATGTAAAGAAGAAAAGGATCGATAATTTTATAGTAAGATTTTCTAATTCAATAATATGTTGCATACTATTGAGATTTATGAACAATTTATTCTTCGATCATTTGAATAACAATGTACAGATTGTTTTCTCAAAAGAAAAATTAATATGAATGTAGTTTTTAATAAATATATGTATACTAAATAAAGTTTCGTAGGAGCAAAAAGTAATAATTGGTTGATGAATTTTTCTGTTTGAGAACGATTCATATACTAATGAGCAAAAATATTTGAACTAAATTATTCATCAAAGACAATGTAGAAATAATTTACAAGATCAATCGATCGTGCATGTTATATTCAGGTATACAACAAAACGGTAAAAACAGCGTTTAAACAGTTAACGATTTTTAACACTTTTTCACGTTTCAACGCTATGATTTGTTGAAAATTTTACTATTTTAACGAATTTTCAAAGATAATATTACTCTTTAGCAGGTATTATAGTTTTCTATACTTTGCCTCAAACGACGAAATTTATCTAATATCATTTATTCTCTCGATATCCTCCCCTTTAATATTTCAACCTTGTGATGACATCTGAATTTCAATAAACTAGTCTCAGGTGTTAGGCGGTAGATTCTTTTGATGTAACTCACAGTGTACGAGCACATATTGATGGAACAATAAATAATCCTTTAGTTAGGATCATGTGAGAATCGAGAAGCTGCCAGTCTATTTTGGAAGCGACATGTCCTCTTTGTATAAGTATGTGTGTCTGTTTTCCTTCTAAGTGATGATCTTCTCTATTGGAACTATTCAAAATATTTGCCATTGAAATAATGTATTACATTTACAAACTCGTTGCAAACTTTCTCAAAAAGGATTTTTTGAGAAATAATTGATATAATGTTCTTCTTCTAACCTACACAGATAAAGTCACCTTTGGATTTTTGCTTATTTTACTAAAAATGACTGTTACAACTCAGTCAATATCAATACTTTTCAAAAGAAGAACTTGCAGCTATGAAAGGTGCAATAACTGTCCTATTTTGCTCTCATTTTGGAAGATCTTCTTATAAATAGATAGCGAAGGAAAGAAAAAAAATTCTTTAAGTGTGAAGGAATGATGAATTTATCTTCGCATGAAACGAAAAAAAAGGAATAAAATTTGAATTGACTAATTATTGAAACTTACTCATGTAAAACAATTTGACGCAAAAATCAGCTGAAAAGTGAGTATAATCGATTTTTAACATTTTTAACCGGTTCTAGTCGGAAGAAACTCACCTTCTTGTGATTATTATGGCAATATCCGATTAAAATCGATTAAGAGTTCACGGAGAAAATTGATTTTTGCCGGTGATGAACGAAAAAATGTAATTCAGTTTTCATCGATTACAATCAATTTTTTCCGTGAATTCTTAACCGATTTTAATCGGACTTTGCCATAATAATCTGAAGAAGGTGAGTTTTTTTCGATTAGAACCGATTAGAAATGAACATTCAGGAGATTCTACTCATTTCAAAAGTAGATAATTAAACAAACTATTAATATATTGATTTATATCATTTATATAGACATTTCTATCAATGATAAATAGATTCAAAAAACTTTTCTTTTCTTTCTTACCTAACGTTAAAGTGAAGTATTTATTTGTCAGATTTATATAAGTGAGAAATCGATAAATTAATTTTTATAGATATAAAGGGCGTCGATGAATTTTTTTCCTTTCATTTATATCATAGGTCGAATTAGGTAAGTACTCACATATTTATGCTTTAGAAAAAGATTAAAACAAAAGGTTTTGAGCACCATGTTATTAGCGGACAAAGGAATGATTTATGCAGTAATGATAACATCTCAATATATACTTATATCAACGATTTTTTTCTAGAATGTTGTTTTTTATCAGTAATATTACTTGCTTACTAGTTAATAAAGTTCGCTCAATACAACTAAACGAGATCTAAGTTTTTCA